TCTGGCAGGGGGCCGGCCCGCGGGCCGGTGGCGCACTGCGATAGTGCGCCGCTTGGGAAGCGCAGTGGCTCTCCCGCCGAGGGTTCGGATCCCACACACGGTACGGGCGCGACACTGAGGGTTGTGATCCGTTGCCGGCCACGAAAAAAAGACAAAAAGGAAAATAAATAAATAAATAAATAAATAAATAAATAAATAAATAAATAAAAAGAAAAAAGAAAACTCTGGCAGTTGTCAGTGAAGAACCAGGGAAAGAAGGGGAAGAAGTTTGAGCTCCTGCTGACAGGATATACGACCGGTAAGCAGAGCGCCCCCTGCCGGCGTCATAAAGGAGCAGAGAAGGTTGGGTCTTGCAGGGAAGGGGCGTGGCTGCGTCTTTCTCTGAAGTCCCGGAATTTGGGAAGGAAAGTACGTCGCTGATGGATCCTTCCAGTTTCCTATTTCCATGCCCTGCTTCTCCCAGTACTCAGAACTGTAGCACCTCCGTCCTGCCTCACCCTGCCATGAGCTCCATGTTCCTCTGCTGTGTGGCCTTTTGTCTCCTGGCATCAGGTGAGTTTGGGGAATAGATGGGGAAATTCCTACCTTAAACTTTCAGGTCCTGGCTCAAGCCTTTGAGGCTCCAGCAAGAGGACCCTTCCTAGGCTCTGTCTCTAGTTTCTGTCTTATTTCCCCACAGGGCCCATGGATGCTGGTATTATCCAGATCCCAAGGAATATAATCACAAAGACGGGAAAGAGTAATATACTGGAATGTTCTCAGACTATGGGTCACAACAGGATGTACTGGTACCGACAAGACCCAGGACTGGGGCTACGGCTGATCTACTACTCCCTTGATGTCAATGACATTTACGAAGGAGAGGTCTCCAATGGGTACAGTGTCTCTCGAAAGGAGCAGCCTAAATTCTCTCTGTCCCTGAAGGTCGCCACCCCCAACCAGACAGCTCTTTATTTCTGTGCCAGCAGTGAGTCACACAGTGCTTCTTGGCCACCTGCTCTCTACACAGAAAGACAGGCGTGTGGGTGACAGAAGCCTTCCTGGATGTGGGGTGTGTGATACTTAGAGCTCTGAGTAGCCCCATACAGTGCGAGCCTCAGTTTGAGCTAAAGGCCACTTTGGGCCAATGTGCCCAGGCTGTATGATGACCCTGGAAGCACAGGCTACACCGAATCTATCTCTCCTGCCTGTTCTCTTTGTCTACTCTACTGGGTTAGCCCAACAGTGACCTTCCAAAAGAACAAACCTCAACATTTGACAATGGCTCATGATTTTCAACAAAAGCATTTCTTAGGAGCTCAAATAGGATGTGGCTTTTAGTGGTTCTTCTGCTGCTGTCTCCACCCACCTTGCAACACCCCCCTCCATTCTGTTCCTACAGACAGTCCCTTTATCCTGTCTGCCCTTTCTCAGTTCCATTTCCTCTGAGCTCAACTCCACCAGCTTTATACTTGGTTGCCTTTATAGTAAGAACAAACTATCTTGTTTTCTAAAACGTCACTCTAAGTAAATGTAACTCCAAGGTGAAGTTCAAGTATGAGAGACTGTGGTCTATAAAAGTAATTTTTCATCTACTGCCCCACACCTTGATCTCTGCTGAGATTACTGTGAGTTTATTTATTTATTATTTTATCATTACACAATGCAAACGTTTTCTGTGGCCCTTTACCACTAGACTTGCAATATTATCTGGATGTATTAAACTTCAAAATAATTATTTCTCCCCAATGCGGGGCCAAAGCTAGGAGCTTGGAGATGCTCCTTTCTTCCCAGACACTGGAACAATCCTCCCGTTCTCCTGCAGTGGAGACCCTCCTTGGAGCCAGTAAGGTTCAGGCACAAAAATACTTAATCTAGGACTGCCAGAGCATGATGTGGAAGTTTTCCTGAGAATCAAGTCAAAGACTTCCTCGTGTGCTTTATCTTTTTTTGCCCCATAAGCCTCAATTATTTTAGTAAAAGAATCCACAGGACTTGGTGACTGTTCAGAAATAAAAACTTGTTTCATTTTCTACCTCTTATTATCTGAAAAGGATGTCACATTTTTTTTTCACTCTCCTTTATGGGCTCTATCTCATCTGATTTCCTTTTGAAAAACAGTTTTCTCTAGAGTTTTGTCCCCTGTTCCTAGGCACACTTCAATAGTTTTACTGTTTAATATTTTTTCTCTCATAAGCTATTAACAATTCCATTTAATTTTGTCCTGGATGTTTCTACTAGATTTCCCTAGGATTTTTCCTTCTGCCCTCCCTTTTTCTCAGTATGAATATTTTTCCTTAACCTTCCTATCCATAGTCATGACAACTTCTTAAGTTCCTGCCTGGAAAATTCATATATCTACTGAACACTTCCAGCAGCATGTTTCACAGGCAATTCAACCTCAAACAATTTATTACTGAATTTATTCTATCCCCATCCCCAAAGGCACCCACTCGGACCACACACTGTATCTCCATCTTAGTGATCAGAACAACCATTCCAGGTTCTTATTTTCTGTTAGATCTCACGTTAAATCAGTTTTCAAATCTATTACTTCTGTATCCCACATTGTCACAGATTGGTTCTCAGAAAACACACTTTGTGAGGGAGATTTGTGTGCAGGGAGGTTACAGGGAAATGACCTCATGGTACACACACAGGTGGATGGGAAGGAAGGAAGCAAGATTGGGCAGGGGGAAAAGTCGGGCAGTGCTGCAGCCTCAACAAAGGCCTGAGCTGACTCCACAGGGAGCTCGGAAGCTGGAAAGGTCCTTTAGACTCATCCTGAGGTGAGCAACCATGTCACTGTCTATGTTGCTCTGAGAAGAGGATGCCCTTGGCGGGGAGGAGGTTTCTCTTTAGACCAATGTAATTCACAGAGAGGGCTGTCAGCACTGCACTTTCCAACACGCACGTCCACTCATCCGATTCAGCTACCCCTTCCCTTCCTCACTGCTCCTACTTGAGTGCAGGCCCTCAGCCCACACCTAGAAAAAACAAGTGCAACGAACGCTGTTCTCTTTGGTCTACCAGCCTCGTCCTTCTTCTGCTTTACCGTGCACATTGCACCAGCTGATTGTGTCTAACGTCCCCACACGGCACACAAAGCCCTGCACGAACAGCTCCCTAAAAATCTGGCTAAATCTTCCAAATTCACCCCAGCACTTTAGACTCTAGCTCAACTGAACTTTTTATATTTCCTCGAACAGGCCAGGCTGACTTGCACAGTTGTACCTTTGCAAAAGCTCTTTCCTGTACCTGAAATGGGCTACTTCTCGACCGCCTGGCTGACACTTACACATCCTTTAGTTCTCATCCTCGAACAGGCCAGGCTGACTTGCACAGTTGTACCTTTGCAAAAGCTCTTTCCTGTACCTGCAATGGGCTACTTCTCAACCGCCTGGCTGACACTTACACATCCTTTAGTTCTCACATCAGAGACGAGCGTATCTACAAAGGCTTTCCTGACTCCTGTGGACAGAGAAGACTCCTCTTCTCTTCTGTGGGATAGTTTCCACATTCTGCCATTCCCAAACTGCAATAGTTATTACGTTTTCTCATAATTGTTTTTATACTAGCTCATCCCAAGACTATATATTCTTTAGTTTAAGAGTGATGTTCCTCCAATTTTATATCTGTAGCATGGGGTACGATGTCTAGTTTAATGAAGAAATGATAGAAGAAAGGAGGAATGGGGAGGAAGAGAGATGGGGAGAAGGAAAGGAAAAAGATAGAAAAGTGGACTAAAAAATGTCTTTAAGTAGTTCTTCAAGATTTTCTTCCAAGTAACATATTTTGTGACTTCTGGTGCATGTGCATATTTAAGTCCACCACACCTCCTACCTACAAGTCTCTTTAAAACAAAGAAAATATGTTTGGTAAAGAAAAGATTGAAAAATGAGAGATGTTTTACTGAACCCAAAGTGTATAGAGACATAATGTAACAATTATTATCAGATCCTAATATGTGATGGTAATGATTGATTGACTAAGAACTCGGGCAAAATGAACCATAAACCCAAACATACATGGGAGAATGGTGCAGGTGAAATAAAAGTTGTTCTCCCTAATGGAGTTTGAATTTTGAGGCAGGACATGTAAAGAAGGATATATATGTGTATGTATGTGGATATTTGTTTTAATTTTTTAACACAAACTTAAATACTCATATATTAAGGTAGGCTTAAACTCTATTTTATTGTAATATTTAACAATATAAGTTTATGTCCAGAATTCTAGTTTTGGTATTACAAACTAAAAGCGGAGTTTGCAGCAAGGATGATGAGTTATGCTCTATTTGGGGGCCTTTGGAGCTCCCCAAAGCTGGTACAGTGTCATTGTAAACACAGTATTAAAGCTCATAAAAGACACTTGGTGTAGGTTTCAGACATGTGAGTCATTATGTAAAAGCTCAACTCCCATGCTGTCCACTCAGTGTCTGTGATTCTCTGGAGTTAAACTCTATNTACCTACAAGTCTCTTTAAAACAAAGAAAATATGTTTGGTAAAGAAAAGATTGAAAAATGAAAGAAGGTGTTTTACTGAACCCAAAATGTATAGAGACATAATGTAACAATTATTATCAGATACTAATACGTGATGGTAATAATTGATTGACTAAGAACTCAGGCAAAATGAACCATAAACCCAAACATACATGGGAGAATGGTGCAGGTGAAATAAAAGCTGTTCTCCTTAATGGAGTTTGAGTTTTCAGACAGGACATGTAAAGAAGGATATATATGTGTATGTGTGTGGATATTTGTTTTAATTTTTTAACACAAACTTAAATACTCATATATTAAGGTAGGCTTAAACTCTATTTTATTGTAATATTTAACAATTTAAGTTTATGTCCAGAGTTCTAGTTTTGGTATTACAAGCTAAAAGTAGAGTTTGCAGCAAGGATGATGAGTTATGCTCTATTTGGGGGCCTTTGGAGCTCCCAAAATCTGGTATAGTGTCATTGTAAACACAGTATTGAAGCTCATAAAAGACACTTGGTGTAGGTTTCAGACATGAGAGTCATATAAAAGCTCAACTCCCATGCTGTCCACTCAGTGTCTGTGATTCTCTGGAGTTAAACTCTATCCTGTAAAAACAGGAACCACGATGTCACAGACTAATCTTGGCATGGTGGATTAAACCTCAGAGATAATCCCCACTTCCATGTGGGGCCGGAGCCCTGAGCTAGGAGATGGCAATTCATTCTTTGGAAACCAGGGTCTACAGCTTTCTTCCTTCAGCCTCTTCTGAAGATAGGTGTGTCCTATGCCATCATATGAAGACTCAAGTTAGCATTACCATATTCTGGTGCCAGATCTTTCCATCCTGGCTGAATATTGAGACTGTATTTTGTCCCTTGTCCTTATCGGTATCTGTTTTTCCTGCAAACTTCGCAGATGCTGCAAAGACTACAAGGTCCTGAGAATCAAGAGTTTTCAATGACAGAGGATGAAAATGTGTAGAGACATATGTAGCAATTATCTGTGATGATTGCTGTATATGGAATTGATGACATTTAAAAATTCTTAGCAACTGCTTCAGAGACTTCCCTGGCTACACCAGAAAGGTGGCCTTTGGGGAAAGTGTTTTCATCAGTAAAAGACTCACCATGCGTGAGTTCTTCCTGCGCTGGCAACAGGGGTAGGGGTTTACCTCTGCTTTCACGTACCCATTCGTGTGATAGAACCTGAGCCTCTCTCACCTCTACTCCTCTACTCCCAACCCAAGATCTATCCCTTTCACTCTTCCCTCTTTTTTAAAGTCACTTCTACTGGGAGGTGTAGGCTTTACATCCAGTCACTGCTGCAGACTCTCATCAACTCATCACTTATCTTTAAATCTTCTCACATTTAGAACAACTGGAAGCATCCCTCCTTCCTGTTTCTTTAAAATTCATCAGAAAAAATCTTCTCAAGTCTTTAAGTGTCTCTTTCCCCTTTTATCATTTTTCAGCAGTGGGTGAAATGTCAGTTACTTTTTCTTGAAAAATGATTACATTGTGTAATGATGAAAATACTAATTATTGATTTGAGCATCACATATCGCACGCAGGTATTGATATTCAATGCTGTACCCCACAGATAGGTACAATCAATTAATTTTCAATAAAAGCAAACAAAAAAATGTGCTACTTGATGCTTGCAAAAATAAGTAAGTAAGTAAATAAATAAATAAATAAATAAATTTTAGAAAACCTCTTCCTGTTGAAGTAAGCCTAGTTTCATAGTAAAGACAAAAGTCAAATGTTGCTAATTTTTAAAAAAATTTTAATTGACGCACTGTAATTATACATAAGTAATGGGGTACAATCTGATGTTTTGATATATATATGTTTATAGTAATTGGATTAAAAAATATGGAACACTTCATGAATTTTTGTCTGTCTTCCCTGTGCATGCTAATCTTCTCTGTACCATTGCAATTTTAGTATATGTGCTGCTCACATGAGCACTCATTAATAATTTTAATGATTACCTTTGTCTTAAAGGAGCCCCTAATGAGAGAAGAGTATTTTAGGGTTTGATAATCCATAATTGTTACATTACTTTGGGACATAGGACAGAGCAAAAGTGAGCAGGAGCCCACATGTGCTGTGGGTTAAATACGTAAAGACTGAAGATGTGATGCTCTAATAGTGGAGATATGATAGTCAAAATCCAAACCCGTGTCAGTATGATGAAACAAGAGTGTTACTGAATGTCACCTGTGGATCTTAGTGAACTAGTGCAAAGGTAGAAGGAATACTGGGATTCATCTTTGTGAATCACAATCAAAACTAAAGATTTTCCTGTTGAGAGGAAATGGGAAAAAGAGAAGAGATGCAATAGCACTTGGTTTGGACATTGTTTACTGCAGCAGTGTCCCCAAATATTTAGGCAATTTTACCAAAACATATACTGGAAAAAACTGCAAATCTGTATTTTCGGTTCTGTCATGACTGATGGTGAAGTTAAAAGGAAGATGAACCTAAATCATCTTAGGTGGAGTCTAAGCTGATAAAGTAGATAAAGCCTGAACCCCAAGGCAGTGAGAAATGAGAAGGAAGTTAATATCTCACAATAGCAACACAATATGTCCTGAGAATTCAGTGGATTCCAGTTACTTCTGTAGGCCCTTCTCACGTGTTATCTAAGTCGGTTCATCATTTCATGCTCACAATATGCTCTCACACTTCTGGTCTGACGGAGCCGCTCTGTTCACTGGGTCCTTCTTTTGAACGTTCTGCCCCCCAGCTTTGCAGAGTTCATTCCTATTCATTTTTCGAAACCCGACTCAGGCATCACTTCCTTTCCTAACCTCCCTAATTAGGTCAAATTCTGCCATCATAGGCTTTCAAAGCTCTGTAGTTCTCATCTTTAGAACATGTGAAACAGTTGAAATTGAATGTATTGAATGTTTTGTAAGAATAGAAGAAACTTGAGTTAAGATAAATAAGCAAAACAACAAGCTTGCTTTACATGACGAAAGTGAATAAAATATTAACTCTTTGATGGGTAAAGGGATATAGATGAAACTGCACTTCAGCACCGTGGCTGTGGGACCCAGAAAGTTTGCAGGGGCCACGTCATCACCCAGTGACATCATCAGGAGCCTATCCTGCTTCCACAGAAGTGCAGACACCTTCTCCAGCCCTGACAGTGCCATGGCTGTCAGGCTCCTCTGCAAAGTGGGCTTTTACCTTCTGGAGGCAGGTAAGTCAGAAACAGATTTTTCCAAAATCAGGAAGGAATGTTTCCTGTCTGCTGGGTTTGTCCTGGCTCACCATCAAGGCCCATTCCTGGACTCTGTCACCCGTTTTTATCTCCTCCCATAGGCCTCATGGATGTTCATATCTCCCAGACCCCACGACACCATGTTATGGGGAAGGAAAAGATTACTCTGAAATGTCCTCAAACCATAGGCCTTGACAAAATGTCCTGTTATCAACAAGATCCAGGAATGGAACTACAGCTGATCCATTATTCATATGGTTTTAACACCACAGAGAAAGGAAAGATTTCCTCTGAGTCAACAGTCTCCAGGATAAGGAAGGAGCATTTTTCCCTGACCCTGGAGTCTGCCAGCCCCTCACACACATCTTGGTACCTCTGTGCCAGCAGTGAATACACAGCCCTACACAGGCACCTACAGACTGCACAAAAATGGCAGTCACTAAGGTGTGGAAGTCCTGCCTTCAGAAACCTCATCTTAAACTGCAGAATCCACTGCAAATCCTCCCAGGCTCCTCAGTCCTGGAGGACCAGTGTGGCCTGAGTAGCAGCAGACTAATGACTGTCTCTGGGTAGGTCCAAGCTGGGAAATGGCCCAGCTGTACAGTCAGGGCTGAATTCTCTCTTGCATCTAACTGCATATGTTCAATTGAGGCTTGCTCAAGTTTTGTCCTTCAGGATAAGTGAGGTAATATTGACAATTGCCTTATAGCTTCCTGAAGGAAAGTCTTTGTCAGCTAAGAAACCAGAAGAGGTTTATTAGACTTTCACCACGAGCTGTCTCTATCTCTGGTTCATGGTTCCTTCATATACAGCCTCTCAAAGTCCCTGTCCTTTCCCAACCCCAATCCTTCTCCCCGTAACTTCAGGTACTCATTTGTGACCTGAACTGATTATTTTCATTACTCACCCTGTAAATTAATATAACTTTAGCTAAATCTGTATGAGGTATGAGAAACAGAGACTCTAGTTTCAAAGAAATCCTTCCAACAAAGCAATCTCTGGATTTAGCCCTGGATCTCTTTGGAGTCTACCCTGATCACTGGGAGGCTATTCCACAGAGAGGTGCTTCTGCTGACTTGGATGTGCTGAGGCTCAGAGATGTGTTCTCAGTCCACATGAGACAACACCTGAAACCTTGAATAGACTTGTTTTTTCCCAGATAATGGACAAAGTGTAGGCTGTTTGTCTGTCTCAGAACAGGTGGGATCTGAGCTCCGATGTGAAATCTATGTTTTGAGGTTACCAAAGAGTAAAGACACATAGTCTTTGCCTTGGTT